GCGGCACCCCGCCACCTCCTCCTGCCTTGGTTCCTTCTCGGTCCCCTCCGATGCCTGGGCTGCGGGGATGGGGGGGGGAGAGGAAGGGCATGGAGTGTGAATCCTACCACCGGCGAGCACAGCCTCCCACCTTTTAGGGAGGCTTTGCAGAAAGACAGTTGAAATGATGGTACCTTCTCTTCCTATCAAGGTTTGCATTCTGGCATAAAGGCAGGGTGTAAACCCAAGGTGTTATTTATTACCAGCACCCCGCCACCTCCTCCTGCCTTGGTTCCTTCTCGGTCCCCTCCGATGCCTGGGCTGCGGGGATGGGGGGGGGAGAGGAAGGGCATGGAGTGTGAATCCTACCACCGGCGAGCACAGCCTCCCACCTTTTAGGGAGGCTTTGCAGAAAGACAGTTGAAATGATGGTACCTTCTCTTCCTATCAAGGTTTGCATTCTGGCATAAAGGCAGGGTGTAAACCCAAGGTGTTATTTATTACCACACTGGGCTTTCCTGCATGCAAACTCTGGGAGTTTTACGGACATTCTGTGCTTGGTTTCACAACATCCTTCCGGGACAAGCTCAAGTGCCAGGTAGCGTTTTAAAGACAGACACTCAGAGCTCGCACGGTCACTCTCACAGAGAGGAGGGCAGCCCTCTGCAACAGCAGCATCTCACAAGCGAAGATTTGTTCGTATGGTATCACCCTCTTGCATGCCAGTCGTTGGGAAATAGTCTTTACTCTGATAGCAGTTTTGTTCAGACTTCTTAGGTTTTCAGAGCACTGATAGCAAGGTCTTTACCAAAACTTTATCAGGTCTACAGCCTTCTTATTAAGTCTTTCAAACTCCAGTAGGTATTTACAAGTCTCCCACACGGGCACCACCAGATGTGATCCCGTAGGCATCTGGGTCTCTGTAGGTATAGAAAAATGCAGCAGCTTGTTTATTTTGTTAAGTTGGAAAGATTTTTGTCATTTGTCAGATTAAGTAAGCGTTGGGCCTCATTGCTATTTGCAGAATAAGTGCCTTTATTTTCTTTCCACTCATCCCTGTAGCCCACAGGATACTTGGGGGCAAACAGAGAGAAGGAGGCCTCTTGCTGTAGGTCAACTTGGTCTTCTTGCCCTTTATCTTAAGGTCCAGAGCCCCTTAACTAATTAGTCCTTATCTGAGTTGCTCACCTTCAGCAAACAAGTGACTTCTACAGGTTTAACTCAGGTGAGTGCGCTGGGAGGAAACCTATGAAGAATCCAAGAACAATAATAGGTAATACTTATTTGGGGACAGGATCGCAAATAAAGGTTTGTCCGATTGCAGCCAGGTCTTTTCCAATTGAAAACCATTTGTTGACTAGTCTGCAATGGGAGAAATGATGTTTAAAGAGACATACAGAGCCCTAGCCGGTTTGGCTCAGTGGATAGAGCATCGACCTGCGGACTGAAAAGTCCCAGGTTCGATTCCGGTCAAGGGCATATGCCTAGGTTGCGGGCTCAATCCCCAGTAGGTGGTGTGCAGGTGGCAGCTGATCAATGATTCTCTCTCAGCATTGATGTTTCTATCTCTCTCCCTCTCCCTTCCTCTCTGAAATCAATAAAAATGTATTTAAAAAAATAGACAGACATACACAATGGTTTCTCCACAAGCCAGCTTTGTTAATATTCCAAGGCAGATGTGCAGGGTGAGATAAAAGATAAGCAGATGGCTAGTGATTCCCCCACAATCACAATGGCTGTGGTTGGCAAGAGTATATCATAGGGTTTACTGTTTTGTCCTAAAAAAAAAAAAAAAAAAGGCCATTTTCAAGGAGAATAGAGCTTGGGGAAGTCCCCAAGAAGGCCGCTAGAATTATGAATTACATGGCTTCAATTGTAATGGCAGGGAGAAGGGGAGAGCGATAGATGAGAAGAAGGAAAGAAAAATTCCTTCTAGAATCATTGAGTAGTGCATCCCTGGCTGGAACAAGCTGGTGCCTTAATAAGGTATTAACAAGTCTCTGCCTTCTTGAGCAAAGCTAAGACCCAACAAATGCTGAGAGTCAGAATCCAGACCACCGACTTCGTTTGTGAGACTTCAGTGAGTGAAAAGAGAACTCTGTAGTCTCGTCAACTAAATTATTTTCAATTTTTCTGCACTCCTTAAATGTTAAGGAGGAAGTGGGGATGTCCCAAAAAGTGGAGGTCTGAACCAAAATAAAGAAGTTGGTCTAGCCCTAGCCGGTTTGGCTCAGTGGCTAGACTAGAGCATCTGCCTGTCAATTCCGGTCAAGGGCACATACCTCAGTTGCAGGATCCTCCCTAGCCTGGGTCCTGGTTGGGGCACGTGCAGGAGGCAACCAATCGACGTGTTTCTCTCACATTGCTATTTCTCTCTGTCTTTCCCTCTCTCTAAAAATCACTGGAAAAATATCCTTGGGTGAGGATTTAAAAAAAAATGTTGGTTTTTAAGATCCCCAGAGATAGCGTAACCAGTGAGTAGTTAAACAGCTCTGGAATCAGCCCTGGCAATGGTTAGAGCATTGGCCCTTGGACCAAAGGGTCGCAGGTTTGATTCCTGGTCAAGGGCATGTACCTCAGTTGCAGGTTCCCCAGCCCCAGCAGGGGCGTATGCAGGAGGCAGCCAATTGTGTCTCTTTCACGAGTCACCGATGTTTCTCTCTCTCCCTCTCCTCCCTCCCTCCTACTCTCTCTATAAATCAATGGAAAAAATATCCTAAAAAAAAAAAACTCTGGGATCAGAGACTGAATGTTTACTATCTAATCAGTCTTAATGAACTGCGCAGAGCCTTGGTTTTTCATCTATAAAGTTGGAAAAATACCTCTCAAAGTGAAACATTGTTTTAAAGCTCAGTGTTTGGCACATTTACTGTTTCTGATCTCTAGCTTTAAAGAAAATTTTTTATATATGCACCCATATGTTCATAGCAGCACAATTCACCATAGCTAAGATCTGGAAACAGCCTAAGTGCCCATCAGTAGATGAATGGATTAGAAAACTGTGGTACATCTACACAATGGAATACTATGCTGCTGTAAAAAAGATATAAGCATAACCAATGGACATAAGACACTGGGGGGTAGCGGAGGCCAGGAGATTGTCAAGAGCCGGGGGCGGGGGGGAAGGGACATA